GCCTGCAGCGCCGAGCACCGGGGCCGAGCGGAGCGGCCCGGAGCTTGGTCTTGGTGGCGATAGGACCCCGGCCCCGGGCCTGCAGCGCCGTGCACGCGGCCCGGTGGCGGGACTCGCAACCTGGCCTTTTTGGCTGAAAGAGGAAACTTGTCTAGATGAATTAAACGCCCGAAAGCGTTTAAACCGGCCCGAAAGCCGGGTCTCGCACCGCGGCTCGAGTAGGCAACGTGGAAGGAGCGGGAGGAAGCTGGCGGCGCAAAATCCCTAACGGGGGTGGGGGGCGGCCGAAAACCATCTGGCGAGGCTGAAAACCACTGCCGTGGGGCGGGTTCAGCCTGCGGCGCCCAGCCCCGCTTCTGTGCTTTTGCAAAACGTGCAATCCAACGAAGGCTGCAGACAAGAGCTGAACCGGTTTTATCACATCAGACGGACGTTTCCCGCGCTCTCAGCACCGTTTATTACCATCGAATAAATAATAAACCCCCCCGCTCAGGACCAGGAGAAGGCAACAAGGCTCGCGGCATCCCTAAGAGCCAGCAAACGTAGGCGCCGGGCCGTTCTCGTTCAGATCCCGCAGCGACGACAAGGCGGGCTGAAAAGGGCCTTTTCGAAGTTGAAACGCAGCCCGATAGTTTCTTTGCTCGCAGAAGTGCCAAAAAACCAAACAAAAACCCACATCCCCAGCCCACCTTCGGCGAGGTTTTCCGACGTGAGTCACCAACGCCTGCCGCCCCGTTCGCTCCTTACCCGCGGGTTTGCTCCTCGGAGCGAGGAAGGCGGCACGCGTTCGCCCAAATCAAAGGCGGGGGGGCACGCGTAGGAGCAAGACAGGGCCAACCCCTAGCGTGCCGACAGCTCAGGCCTCTTCCCTTTGGCACCGGTATCCCGCCCGCTCCTCCCGGCTGATTTTTGATGCTTCCTACCCCTTCGACCCAAAGAGGCGGCGAGGAAACGGCTTGCCCGAGGTCGAGCCGAGCGGATGAGATCGCGAGCCCGGAAACGCCCTAGGGAAAGCCTCCCGGGAGCTCTTCCCGTTGTTTCGGCAGGGCCGGCTTCTCCGTTTTCACGCGCTGTTTGGTTCAGGCGCTGGGCGACGCTGGGACAAAAACCGGCCCTCGGCTGCGAGCGCTGCAGGAAGCTCGAGATCGGCACGTCCCACTTTTCTGCCAGCGGCCCCCTGCTCGCCCTTTTCCCCCAGGACGGGCTGCGTAAAAGCATCTCTTGACTTATCTTTCGGTACTTCTGACGTCCTTCCAGCTCTTTGCTTTTGATTAGATGAAAGCGGCCGCCCGCCGAGACGGCCAAAAGCCAGCCTGTAAAATCACAGGCTCGGCAGCTACGAAGGGCATCACCCCAATCCCCTCGTACGTGTACGTCACCGTACGGATTTTAATGATGAAAAACGATCGCTGTCACAGAAATAAAACTGGGGCAGGAATACCTCTTCCCAGAGGAGCGTAAATCAGCACACATGGAGATCTCTGCTGCTGCTGTAATTAGCACTGTGGAAAAGCCCATGCAGTAATTAACTTTCTACCTTCCAAGTTGAGATTTAATAACATGCAGTAAAATAACGCCTGGGGCTATGCAACAAGGGGGGGGGAAAGCCCCATCCAATTAGGCACTTGCCACTTGATAAGGAATTAATTATACCCTGATCTTTCTTATAATAATAATACGTTGCTTTTTATCTGCTCAGTGCTCTAAGTGAGGGAGGGGTGCGCTGGGAAAACCTCCTCGAAAAGTCCCGCATCAACTCCGAGGACCAGGTTTCTGCCAACCAAAGACTCAACCGGAGAAGGATGGGGCTGAGCTGCTGCATCCGGCAGAGCTGGAAGGGGAAAAAACTAGGAAAGAAAACGCTCGGGCTGTCGGGGAGCTCAGCCTCAAACCTCCCATCCCTCCACAGGACCGGGACGTCTTCTGGTGGGTCGGATCCAAGCAGCCAGGATGGCTCCCAGCACACACGGCTGTGGGATGAAATAGGAGTCGGCCCCCCATCGAGAAATCAGGAATGAGACTTGCTCCAGGACAGATGGTCTTTATCATCTCCAGCATCGAGGCGGCACCAGGAGAGCTGAGCAGGCTGCATGTCCTGACTCCCAGGGCATGCCAGGGGTGCGAGGGCCAGAAGAGAACGATCCCGAACGAGTAGGCGCATGCCTCTCGCTGGGGCAGAAAAGCTAAAAATCTGCCAGCTAAAAATCTGCCTTTAGGTAACGCAGGGTTACAGGTAGTGGAGGATGCGGAGGCTGCAGTGAATATGAAAACCGGGTGTTCGGGAGGCGATTTGCAGCTCCTCAGCCAGGATTTGCTGATCTTGCAACAGCCAGAGGGCAAAACTGCAAAGCTCAAAGGCAAGCTCAGAGAGGGGGGGACTGCACTTGCACCCGGAAGAGAAAGCACAAGGCAAGAAAAGAAAAGCCTGCCACAGCGCATGCAGGCTGGAAGCCGAAGGAGAGGCTGTCCCCTGCTGAAGGGAAACTAAACTGGAGGGAGAGCTGCTCTCCTGCTGGCAAGACCCGGAGCAAGAGAGACCCCCAAGGAGCCCTGCACCCCCACGGCATCTACATGCCTGGATGGATGGAGGGCATCTTCTCAGGAGCGCTGATCTTTGCATCTCCCCAGCACCTGGCGCAAGACAGAGAGACACCAGCGAGCCTCCCTGGTACAGCAGGAGAAGGGACGTCAGCCATGCAAACAGGACACCGGGCCCGTCACGGCAGTACATGTGAGATCAAGATAAGATTTATTTCATTTTTTCCAGTGCTCTGCCACAGCCACACTCAACATAAAACAAGAGTGCAGGGCCCGGCACGTTCCCCATCACTCCCTGGCAGCTCAGCCGCTGAAGCCAAGGGAAACCTAAGAGGGCTGTGAAACACCCGTCCTTCAAAGAGCGCACAGCCTGCTCCAACCCTCAGCAGCCAGGCCAAGGGCCTGAAGCTTGCGTGGTCCTTTTGAGGATGCTCTTCCCAGCCAGGAGAGCTCCAGGGCACCTCATATGGAAGTCACAGGCTCTTGAACGCTGTTGGGAGAGACCCATAGGCTCAGCTCACAACACACCCTTCTGCATGGGGCTTTAACTGCTCTTCCCCGGCCAGAGGGCTTCCTAAATATGTGCTTTTTCATCAGGGCCGAAACCCAGCCCTGAAACGATTACCTAGCGCAAGACGCAGAGTCGTACACCGTGGCTGGACAGGCAGGACGTATTTCATAGCGCTATCACATCTGCGTCAAGTGATTTTGCTTTTTGCCCCAAGCCCTCTTGGACTGACTCCATCTGATATCTGCCTCTCGCTAGAGCTTGGCACGAGTCAAAGAAAGAAATTACTCGATTACCAGAAAATCCAGTAAGGCTGATTTTGGAATTAGTCTCATTAAAGTACAGCGCAAGTATCGGCGGCAGCAGCGTTTTCATTTCTGGATCTCTCTCCTTGCCCCGCCTTCGGCAGCGTTCGGGCACAGCCGGCCTGTCCTCTCGCAGGGGCTCTGCTCAGAGGTCCTGTACGGTCACGGCGGCTCACGTCACTTGGTGAGACCCTGGAAGTTGGGCTCTGTACACGGAGGCAGCGCTGCCTGCTGGCTCAGCAGCTTGTCCAGGATGTTTATTTCAGCATCTCGCCTGTCGATGTCCTCAAAGGGAGTCCAGGACATGTCGTGCTGGAGCTTATAGGCGCCGAGAAACTCGTGGGGGCTGGTCCCCCATTCCTGGAGGAGAGAGGACAGATTCACGTCACAACTCGTTTCCCTCGGGGCCAGGCTATGCTGGCTGTCTTTTGGCCTCTCTACCCGTGCCGGATTGCCATACCACTGTTGAGGCAGTCCCAGTTACACACAGCTGTCTCATTTTCTAACCTAAAAACAGGATGAAGCTATCCTGAGTCCGAGACCAGGCTGACTTACGGCACTGCTGACGTGGGGAGGTTTGGGGACGGGTTATCAGCCTGTCCCCTGCCCAGTTCCTCCAGCCGGCTCAGTGCTTTGCTTTCTGTTCTCTTTATAGAGTATTAAAATCTGCTTCAAGCGCCCATTTGAGCTCTTACCTGGACACTTCAGAGGAACTGCCCACTCTCTCAGGGAGGGCAGCCCACACCGGGCTAGCCCACCAGAGGTGGATTGAGATCTTTGGTCTCAGCTGGACACGGAACGGAAAAGTGACCCACAACTAGTGACGGAGCTGTGGCGCCTTTCTAGCCATAATCTGAGGATGGCAGCAGGGCACAGAGGTCACTACAGTCCTTCATTTCATCATTAAGGACCTGGCTCTGGAGCGTCCAACCTACTCGTGAGAAAATGGATAGCCTGGATGGAGGACCGGTTCTCCAAGACCAACCCCAACACTCAAGGGTGCAGAGGTCCTCGTTTCTCATAGAAACAAAACACCAGACTGCAAACAAACTCAACCATTGGGCTGAAGCATCTGAGGAGAGCGTTGCCAGGTGGCCGCACTGGAACAGCCTACAGAGAAGGCCCAGGGCATGTTTGCAGTTTGTTACCTCCAGACAAAGAACTGCCAGGACCAAAAGGCAGAATTCAGGTTTTCTTGCTCACTTTCTATTGAGAGCTAAGAGAGCTTCATGATATCACTCTTACGCTAGCAGAGTAACTCTAATCAAGGACAAAAAACTCCACCAATTGAACAAGTACCAGCAAACACCCCTCACCAAGCCCAGTACTTTTGCCTGAGGTCCAGAAGTGCCCAAGCATGTTGTTTTTTCCCTTCCCTGCTTCCTCAGAGGCTGTTATCGCCCACCTTAGGAGACAGGATGGAGAAGTATCGCTGGCCACTCTCCCGCCTATACATGTAGTAGATGTTTCCTGGCTTCTTCACAAGATTGCAGGCCACGTGGTGCAGATCAGCATCTCTGTTAGCTTCGTCCAAGACCTAAAAACAAATGTAAGATGTCCACACGTGAAATAAAACCACAACACACTATGCCCTTTCAGTCCAAGCCTGAGGCACACTGCTTGACACACAGGCTTTGCCTTCCACAGCACAAGGCTAGCTTCATGCAGCACATGTGTATTTGCCCCAGGAAGTAGATGCTTTCTGAGGAGGCAATTTTTCCTGCAGATTCCCCCCGCTTATCTGGACCTCAGAGCTCCTGCATCCCTTCACAGAAGTAGAGATATCTCCAAGCAGTAACAAACCCTCCATCACAGCTTCACTGCAGCCCCATGTTCACATCTGCCTGACCCCACAGGCTGCTGGATCCGTTCTGCTCCTCCGCACAGAGCCACCACCGCATCCCTGGGCTTCCCTGCTGAGGTCCCCTTGGGAAGGCATAGCAAATCTCCCCCAGCAAACAAAGGGGAATTCAGCTCCCTGGCTCCATGAGCTGACTGCTCCACAGCTCTGGCTTCACCAGTTAACGAAAGGGATTACATGACACAGCTGCCTTGATGGCAGCGGGCCAGTCACAGTGACCAGCAGATCCCTTCCCATTCAAAGATATATTTTTGACTCCAGATTTCAAGCGCTGTGATTTCACCACCAAAGGCGAAGCCAGAGCCAAACAGGACAATCAGCCCCGGTAAGGCTTGCTCCTGGAGCTGCCTGCTCAAGAAAACGAGCTGGGACAAACTGGAAAGCCGAGATCCGGCCATCGCTAGATAACAGCTCACTTCTCCCAGGGGCTCAGACCTGTCTCAGGGTGACCATCCAGATGGCTGCAGTCACCCTGCTCTGCCAAGTGCTCCCAAGAGCACGACCCACGAAATATGGGGACAGGAGTTTCCTGTCCCGAGCCAGCCCAAAGTCAATCTCTCCTGACGCCGGAGCTGCTTTTGACTAGCCGTCAGCTCCCACCCTTCTTGTGAAAGGAGATGATCCACATGAAAAGAAGTCCGCACTGATGTGCAGAGGACTAGGGGAAAAACCCCAGAAGCATCCCCTATCCCCAGCCGATACCAGACAACAAACCCTCTCTATCTCGCCACTGAATCTTCTCTACTTGGCTTCTGGCAATGATTCACATCCAGGCCACACTTCCTCCCAGACCTCTTGCAATGAAGAGCGTGATTAGAAGAACGCTCATCTTCCTCCCGTTCTCCTTGCAGCTAGCGTACAAATACCCACTTCATCCTGCCTTCTTCGCCTAGCCCGGCTATCGCTGGCTTCCCTGTCAAAATCCCAGAACGGGGGCAAGCCCACACAGGGAAGACAAAACCGAGCACCAGACAGCCCTGGTCTTGCAGAGCGCGTCACGTACAGCGCTACCCCGGAAACACCCGTATTAAACGCAGGCGGCTGTTCAGCGCAGGAGGGAGAAGGTTTCTTGCCGAACGGCCGGAAAGGCTGAGGACGCCAAGGCGGCGAGCCTCGCGCCGCCGGCTGCACCCTCACCTTCCGAGCCTGCTCCTGCAAGTGCCGGATCTGTTCGGCGATGACGGTCAACCTGTTGCAGGCGTTCGCTCGGATGAAGTCGTCCGCCTGCGAGGAAGA